GTGCTGAAGGTAGAGCACTAGTTATCTTTTTACAGTACTTGTCTATTTCGCATTAAACAGCAGTGAGTTCAGTTACTATGAGTCTGGCTAGTGTATCTATTGGGGCATGTTTAGAATTTCATCATTCTACCCTTAGTTTTAAAATATCTTCAGGAGGCAAGAATTTGGCTACTAGTTGAAGGGTCTGAGGTCCTCAGAACAATCAAGAAAATTGACAGTTTTTAGCTGTTGATTTGTTTCAAGGCTTATAATTTTCTGCCTTGTTTTCAGTAGAGCCGAGGATGTAGATTTATATGGCTCCTTTGTAAATGGCTTTGTTTTAAGGAAACCTAGTTGTTACAGTACTGCATGTTGAACCAGTTTCCCGTCATAATTCTACTTTCAAAGGGAGAAGAACACATTAAGGCTTTCTTGAGCACCTGACCTAACATTGGTGACACTCACTTCCAAACCACATTCCCATTAGGTAATTGTCACTTCACTTGAAAAAAAAAAACAACTCATTCTGCAGAAAGTCACTGGGTAATTTCCTGGTTGAGTATTTCTGTGGAATTCCAGTATGTTACCATACTACTTGTCCATTGCCTTTGGGTGGTTCATTTTGGTAGCAGAAAAATGTTTCTGTTATTTTTTGTTTTTGACATGGAGTCTCCCTCTGTTGCCCCAGCTGGAGTGTAGTGATTGCGGCTCACCGCAGCCTCCACCTCCCAGGTTCAAGCGATTCTCCTGCCCTAGTCTCCCGAGTAGCTGGGATTACAGGCGCGAACCACCATGCCCTGCTAATTTTTGTATTTTTAGTAGAGACAGGGATTTCGCCATGTTGGCGAGGCTGGTCTTGAACTACTGACCTCAAGTGAGCCACCCACCTTGGCCTCCCAAAGTGCTGGGATTACAGGCATGAGACACCGCACCCTGCTCTTTCTGTAATTTTTGTACTTTTTTTGAGGCTCTCTGAAATGGTTTTGGTTTGTGTGTTTTAAATGTTATTTAAATGGTTTTTTTGTTTTGTTTTTTTGTTTTTGAGATGAATCTCTCTCTGTCGCCCAGGCTGGAGTGCACTGGCGTGATCTTGGCTCACCCCAACCTCTGCCTGCCTGGTTCAAGTGATTCTCCTGCCTCAGCCTCCCAAGTAGCTGGGATTACACACGTGCACCACCACGCCTGGCTAATTTTTGTATTTTTAGTAGAGATAGGGCTTTGCCATGCTGACCAGGCTAGTCTCGAACTCCTGACCTCAAGTGATCCACCTGCCTCAGCCTCCCAAAGTGCTGGGATTACATGTGTGAGCCACCTTGCCTGGCTTCAAATTGTTTTTGAAGTAGTCAGGATGTAGCTGTAAGACTATCCTTCAGGGTTGTTTGAAAAACAGAATAGAATTTTAGTTACTCTATGCAAAGTCTAATCAGGTTGATAATGTGGTATCCCTTTAGTGTCTGAATAAGGAGGTTCTTAGAATGTTAGTGCTGGATATGACCCTAGCACTTGTACAATCTCCTCATTTTCGGATAAAGGAACTGGAGCCTTAGAAATGCTAAGTAGATGCCTAAGGTCACTCACAGAGTTAATGACCCTGTTGAGTCTAGAATGCAGATTTGCCACCTGCTAGTTTAGTGATCTGCCACATCATGCTCTTTAATAACGGGGGAGGGGAGGGGGCGGGCGGGGTCGGGGGCAGGGGCGGGGAAGGGCATGCTTAGAGCTGATTACTACAACTGGCATGTGTTTTCTGAGAGTGGCCTTGGCATTTGCCTCATGTTTCATTCTTAAAGGTTTTTGAAATTATTTTGGGGCTTTGAAATGCTTGCTCTAATAAATTTATTGAGCAGTTACCACCACTGCTTAATATCCCCTTCTCAGTTATTTAGTCTTCACGACATTCTCTTGAGGTTTAGGTACTGTTGACCCATTTTACAGATGAGAAAATAAGGGCTCAGTAAAGCTAAATAACTTAGGTCACATCCATGAGAGGAGCGAGGCTTAGAATCTAGGTCATTTCAAAGTTTGTTCTAGTAGTGACTGCTAGTGCTTTCCCTGTGATTTTGTATTAAAATAGACTGAGACTCTCCAGAAACTGGGCCCGTGAGCTTGGACTGTGGCATTTCTCCGTGTTCTGTCTCAGTGGTAGCAGAATGATATTTGTCATAAGTAGGCAATGCTCTGATTTAAAGCAATATTTTGAAATTACTTCTTTTTACATTTTAGCAAATGTTGATGTAAAATACTTTAAAACAGCTCTGTTCACCACTGTCTGTACCACTGTGCCTTTTTATTTTTAGACTGTTAGGTAATTAAGGCAAAACCATCCACATTTTTTATATGTTCTGCAGACTTTTCTTTCTGGTGTTTGCTTTTACTGTTTTTCAGTATTGTCTATGGGGAAAAAAAATACCTCAACTTGCAAATTTTTGTTCAGAGATGGGGTCATTCTTTGCTGTCGGAGGGATTTTCGTGAAAAAATTTCAAGAAACATTGTCTCATGTGATCTTACCAGATAAGTGCCAATTATTAAGACTTGCTGGCTGCTGGATTTATCATCTCAGCCTAATTTTCTTCCTGAGATAAATGAATCTTGATTTTTTATCGTTACTACCCTGGCATAATGCAATGGAAATGTAATATGAACCACATAGTTAATTTAAAATTTTCTTTTTTTAATTTTGTTTTTTGAGACAGGGTCTTATGTTGCCCAGGCTGGAGTGCAGTGGCACAGTCAGAGCTCACTGCGGCCTCAACCTCCTGGGTTTAAGGGATCCTCCTGCCTCAGCCTCCCAAATAGCTGGGACTACAACTATATGCCTCCACGCTTGGCTAATTTTTACATTTTTTTTTTGTAGAGACAAAGCCTCACTGTGTTGCCCCAGCTGGTCTTGAACTCTTGGCCTCAAGCAGTCCTCTTAGCTTGGCCTCCCAAAGTGCTGGGCTTATAGGCGAGAACCACCACACCTGGCCCAACACCTCCTAAGTGTAGTGCTTCCCTAACCCCTTCTTAGAAAGTTGGCACATTTACAATTGTTTTCAACTCTCTTGAACCCTAATGGAAATGCAGTGAATGTACAGATGGAGGCTAAGGATCCTGGTCAGAAAAGGAAAGTGAGGCCAGGCGCGGTGGCTCATGCTTGAACCCAGGAGGTGGAGGTTGCAGTGAGCCGAGATTGTGCCACTGCACTCCAGCCTGGGCGACAGAGCGAGACTCCATCTCAAAAAGAAGAAAAAAGAAAAGTGAAAAAGTGAACTGATGTGACTGGAAGGAACCAGTGTAAAAGTCAAAGAAAAACACGCTAATTCAGTAAAAATTGACTGTGTATTTATTCTATACAATACATCATGCCAACTTGTTGAGATTACCGAAGTAGAAAAAAGTCTCCATGTTTCAGAAATCCATCCACCTACAGTTAATTCTGGAAGTCTATAATCTAGGGAACAAGAGCTAAGATACATGTGTACCTATTATGTATGTATTTATTTATTTATTTTTGAGACAGAGTCTTGTTCTGTCACTCAGGCTGGAGTGCATTGACTGAATGATCTCAACTCACTGCAACCTCCGCCTCCCCGGTTCAAGCCATTCTCCCACCACAGCCTCCTGGGTAGCTGGGGTTACAGGTGTGTGCCACCAGACCCGGCTAATTTTTTAGTAGAGACGGGGTTTCACCATGTTGGCCAGGCTGGTCTCAAATTCCTGACCTCAAGTGATCCACCTGCCTTGGCCTCCCAAAGTGCTGGGATTACAGGTACAGGTGTGAGCCACTGCACCCAGTCCCCGCGTGTGCCTCTAATTTAAAGAGGTGTCGTGTCTGAGAGGAGTGATCGTTAGCCCTTCAGGCTGGGGGATGGACAGGGAATGGGATAGAAATGGGGGATTAGGTAGGCAAGTGTGTACTACAATTTAGGAGAATCCTTGAGCTAGAACTGTGTGTCCAAAGTGTGATGGAGAACCACATGTGGCTATTTAAATTTATTAAAATTAAATTTAAAATTCAGTTCCTCAGTCGTAATAGCCATGTTTCCAGTGGTTAATAACCACATGTCGCTGGTGACTATCATGTCACAGCACAGATGTAAAACATTTCCATCACTACACAAACTTGGACAGATTTTTGTCACACATATTTCTCACTTTCATGCAATGTGAGACACTTCTGTGACAGCTCTGAAATTGTATTTTTCTTTAATTAACACCCCATTTAGCTAACAAAACTACAATTTTACTTAGGATGACTGTGTTTTGTTGTTACTGTTTGATACAGGGTCTTGCTGTGTCGCCCAGGCTGGAGTGCACTGGTGTGATCACTGCTCACTGCAGCCTCCACCTCCCAGGTTCAAGTGATTCTCCTGCCTGGGACTATAGGCTTGTGCCACTATACCCAGTTAATTTTTAAATTTTTTGTAAGGATGAAGTCTTGTGTTTCCCAGGCTGGTCTCAAACTCCTGGCCTCAAGTGATCCTCCTGCCTTGCCTCCCAGAGTGTTGGTTTTACAGGCATGAGCCACTATACCCGGCCTAAAGATTAGTTTTGTGTCTAAAGCAGTATGAATTTAAATTGCTGATTTATGAAATATATGCATCAGGCACTTTTCAAGAATTAGGCAGACATTTGTGTTTGAAACATGTAACTTGAATCAAAACGTAGCTTTTTTTTACCTGCCATGATGTCTGTGGCCTTGACTGACGTGTGCTGTGTGGATGTGCTGGCCAAGTAGGATTCTCCATGTTCAAGTCCTTTGATCCATGATCAAAGCTTTAAAAATAATTGTATACCCTTTTTAAAAATTGAAGCAAAATCCACATAACATAAAACTGGCTGGGTGCGGTAGCTCACGCCTGTAATCCCAGCACTTTAGGAGGCCTAGGTGGGCAGATCACAAGGTCAGGAGATTGAGACCATCCTGGCCAACATAGTGAAACCCCATCTCTACTAAAATAAAAAAATTACCCAGGCGTGGTGGCGCGCGCCTGTTGTCCCAGCTATTCAGGAGGCTGAGGCAGGGGAATCACTTGAACCCGGGAGGCGGAAGTTGCCGTGAGTCGAGATTGCAGCACTGCACTCCAGCCTGGCGACAGAGCAAGACTCCGTCTCAAAATAAATAAAATAAAATAACATGAGTCAGGAAGGACGTTGGTGTTGAGGTTGGCGCACATATCAAGGACAGTAACTACCATGGTTCCCGAAGTGTTGCCAAAACCTCAGATGCATGGCCTTTTGGCCAAGCGTCTGCAATTTCATATGTTTGGAGCGTTCATGGTATCCCTGGGGGTTGCAGCTTTGTATAAGTTTGGTGTGGCTGAACCAAGAAAGAAGGCATATGCAGATTTCTACAGAAATGATGAGATTTTGAGGAGATGAGGAAGGCTGGTATCTGTCAGAGTGTAATCTTGGAATATAAAGAATTTCTTCAGATTGGTTTACTTAGAAGTTTGTCACTGACTCGTGTTCCTGAACACATGAATATGTGGGCTAAGAAATAGTTCCTCTTGATAAACAATTAACAAATAAATAAATAAAACTAACCATTTTAAAGTGAACAATTCAGTGACATTTAGTACATTCACACTGTGTTGTACAACCAGCATTTCTAGCTAGTTCTAAAGCATTTTCTTTTTTTGGGGGGGAGACAGGGTCTCACCCCGTCGTCCAGGTTGGAGAGCAGTGGTGCCATCTTGGTTCACTGCAACCTCGCTCCACCTCCCGGGTTCAAGTGATCTTCCCACCTCAGCATCCCAAGTAGCTGGCACTACAGACATGTGCCACCACGCCCAGCTAATTTTTATTTTTATTTTTTTTTGAGACAGTCTCACTGTTATGCCCAGGCTGAAGTGCAGTGGTGTGATCTCAGCTCACTGCAGCCTCCGCCTTCCAGGTTCAAGATTCCCAGATTCTCCCGGCTCAGCCTCCTGAGTAGCTGGGATTATAGGCACCTGTCACCACCCCAGCTAATTTTTGTATTTTTAGTAGAGACGGGGTTTCATGGTGTTGGCCAGGCTGGTCTCAAACTCCCAACCTCAGGTGCTCTGCTTGCCTCAGCCTCCCAACGTGCTGGGATTACAGTCATGAGGCACCGCGCCTGGCCTGATAACTGGATCTTAAAATTGATAGTTAAAATTTGATCATGGTGAAACAACACAAACACCACATATTCTATGATTCCATTGATATGAAATATTCAGAAGAGGTGAATGCACAGAGACAGAAAACAGACTTACTGGTGGCTGCCAGAAGCTAGGAGAGAGTGTGGGCAGTAACTGCTAAATGAATATGGGTTTCCTTTTGGGTTATTAAAGTATTTTGGAAGCTGGGCGCGGTGGCTCACACCTGTAATCCTAGCACTTTGGGAGGCTGAGGTGGGTGGATTGCTTGAGCTCAGGAGTTGGAGACCAGTCTGGGGAACCTATTGAAACCCCATCTCTATAAAAAATTTAAGGCCAGGTTCGGTGGCTCATGACTGTAATCCCAGGACTTTGGGAGGCTGAGGTGGGCAGATCACATGAGGTCAGGAGTTTGAGACCAACATAGTGAAACCCTGTCTCTACTAAAACTACAAAATTAGCTGGGTATGGTGGCACACGCCTGTAGTCTCAGCTACTCGGGACTTCAAGCTGGAGAATCGCTGGAACCTGGGAAGTGGAGGTTGCAATGAGCTGAGACCACGATATTGCACTCCAGCCTGGGCGACAGAGCAAGACTCCATCTCTAAAAGAAAAAAACAAGATCCAGTTTATCATCTGTATCACAGGCAGGACTGGTGTTCTGCTGTCTTCTGGTAAAATCTGTTCACTTCATGTTTTAAAATTTGTGGTAATGTACCAAGTATCACAGCCAATTCATTAATTTTCCTTTATTATAAATTATACTATTAGTTTTGCTTCTTTTTTTTTTTTTTTTTTTTTTTTTTTTTTTAAAAACGGAGTTTCACTCACGTTGCCCAGGCTGGAGTGCAATGGTGCAATCTCAGCTCACAGCAACCTCCGCCTTCCAAGTTCAAGTGATTCTCCTGCCTCAGCCTCCCAAGTAGCTGGGATTACAGGCATGAGACATCATGCCTGGCAAATTTTTGTATTTTTAGTAGAGTCGGGGTTTCCTCATTGGTCAGGCTGGTCTCAAACTCCTGACCTCAGGTGATCCGCCCACCTCGGCCTCCCAAAGTGCTGGCATTACAGGTGTGAGCCACTATGCCCAGCCTAATTTTTCCTCTTTTTTTTGAGACAGGGTCTCATTCATTTTTTTTTTTTTTTTTTTGAGACGGAGTCTCGCTCTGTCGCCCAGGCTGGAGTGCAGTGGCCAGATCTCAGCTCACTGCAAGCTCCGCCTCCCGGGTTTACGCCATTCTCCTGCCTCAGCCTCCTGAGTAGCTGGGACTACAGGCGCCCGCCACCTCGTCCGGCTAGTTTTTTGTATTTTTTAGTAGAGACGGGGTTTCACCGTGTTAGCCAGAATGATCTCGATCTCCTGACCTCGTGATCCACCTGTCTCGGCCTACAAAGTGCTGGGATTACAGGCTTGAGCCACTGCGCCTGGCCGAGACAGGGTCTCATTCTTTCACCCAGGCTAGAGTGCAGTGGTGCAATCTTGGCTCACTGCGACCTCTGCTACCCGGGCTCAAGCAATTCTCTTGCCTCAGCTTCCTAAGTAGCTGGGACTACAAGCATGAACCACCATGTCCAGCCTAATTTTTATACATATATATTTTTTGCAGAGATGGGGTTTTGCCATGTTGCCCAGGCTGGTCTCAAACTTAGTTTTTCCTTTTAATTTGGGGCATGGCAGTTGCACTCAGTGGTAAACTCTGAAAAGCTTTTCCACTTACAAAAATTGTTCCATTTTTAAATAGTTAATAAGGGTGTGTTTCTAAACATAGAGATAACGTTGGAAAATTTGAAACTCTAATTTCATTCCTTGAGAGGGTTCTAACTTCTTTTACTAGCAGCTGTGAACCATGCAGGATGTGAGAAATTACACCCTAATCATCTATTTCCTAGCCATGAACAGTTCAACCTGGGAAGATTCTAAGCCCAGGCTCATTAGTAGCCAGTAAAATCTGGATGTTGTATGCATCATGAATAAGACCAGAGAAGAATGAAGAAGTAAGGGTTTACTGTGGATGAATGAAGACAGGGTAGAAATATATCGGTTTTATTTTTATTTTTTAAGACAGGGTGTCACTGTCCCGCCCAGGCTGGAGTGCAGTGGTGCAATCACTACTCATTGCAACCTTGACCTCCCGGGCTCAGCCCCCCGAGCAGCTGGGACTCTGGGCGTGTGCCACCACTCCTGACAGATTTTTTTTTTTTTTTTTTGGTACAGATGGGGTTTTGCCATGTTGCCCAGGCTGGTCTCAAACTCTTGCCATCCTCCCACCTTGGACTCCCAGAGGTTTGGGACTACAGGTGTGAGCCACCATGCCCAACCCATTTGCAATTGACAATCCATTGTAAGTTGAGGAGCCATCTGTATTGTAAATCTAATAGCTGGTGCCAGGAACTAAGTGGTCAGGTGTAAGTTTTGTTTTGAAAAGCTGTTACAGTTAGTGATACGCTTGAGAGTGGTGAGGAAGCCCACCATACCAGTCATTTTCCTGCTTTAACATACAGTACATCATAACTGTATGTCCACCAGAGCTTACTTTACTTGAATACTGATTTTCAACAGGGGCTATCTGAGGAAGGGGAAGATGGCACTTGCATAACTTGGAAATGCCTGCAGTTGATTCTGATGTGCCTGTATGTTAGATGGTAGTGATTACAGGATCTGTTTCCTAGGGCTTTTGGTGGGGATGAGCTAGCAGTTGGCACATAGGACTCAATAAAAATTAGTTAAAGCAAATTGCTACCACCACCACCCACCCCCTACACAATATGGATTCGTGAGTACTTTTTATCCTTGTCTGGCCCATAATAGATACTCAGTACACACACACACACACGCATTTTTATTAGTTTTTCTTTTTTTTTTTTGAGATGGAGTTTCACTCTTGTTGCCCAGGCTGGAGTACAGTGACGTGATCTTGGCTCACTGCAACCTCCACCTCCCGGGATCAAGTGATCCTCCTGCCTCGGCCTCCCGAGTAGCTGGGATTACAGGTGTGCGCCACACTCGGCTAATTTTTTTGTATTTTTAGTAGAGACAGGGTTTTGCCATGTTGGCCAGGCTGGTCTTGAACTCCCGAACTCAAATGATCCCCCCGCCTTGGCCTCCCAAAGTGTTGGGATTACAGGTGTGAGCCACTGTGTCTGACTGATACTCAATACATATTGATAGGATTGAGTTGGAGTAGTTACATAGCAGATGGAGACTGACATTTGTTGAATATGCCAGGAGTTCTTTAACTGACACTAAACAAATTATTCTCCCATTTCCTCCCATAAACCCCTCAACAGTCCTCTCAGGTAGATGGTATATCATTCCCACAATTTCAATGGAATAAATGCATTCACAGCTTGTCATAAGCCAGGAGTTAAGCCTAGGAGTCAGCTTAGTTCCAGGCTTTGAGAGTACCCCATGCTGTCACCTCCTTCTTAGGGTGGCCTGTGAACTTGATTCTCTCAGTACTGCCTGGCTTTCTCTGAAAATTGAGTAATTTTTCCTTACCTTACCCTTAAACTTTTCTTCAACATGGAAAAGCAAAAAAAGGTTAAATCTGTATTGTGTTTGAAGTACAGTTTCGGTCTCCTTCCAAACCAGGTTCAAATGGGTTTCCCCCCTGTTTGTTAATGTCCTGCTCATCCCACAGCTTGGGGTCATCTGAGACCTTGTACTTTCCCTTTCTCCCACCTCCTGTCAGGTGTAGCCCGCCTGCCCTTCCAGTTGTATTGCTTGGTTGTCCCCATGGCATGCTTTCTTTTTTTTTTTTTTTTTTTTTTTTGAGACGGAGTCTCGCTCTGTCGCCCAGGCTGGAGTGCAGTGGCCGCATCTCAGCTCACTGCAAGCTCCGCCTCCCGGGTCTATGCCATTCTCCTGCCTCAGCCTCCCGAGTAGCTGGGACTACAGGCGCCCGCCACCTCACCCGGCTAGTTTTTTTTGTATTTTTTAGTAGAGACGGGGTTTCACCGTATTAGCCAGGCTGGTCTCGATCTCCTGACCTTGTGATCCGCCCGTCTCGGCCTCCCAAAGTGCTGGGATTACAGGCTTGAGCCACCGCGCCCGGCCAGCATGCTTTTTTGTAGTGGTGATGTGGGTCTTCCTGCTTGTGGGGTCTTGCCCACTCTAGTTCATGTAGTTTAAGCTGCAAGAAACAGATCTTCCTAAGTGACAGTCTGAGCCTGTCACTTAAAAAAAATAAAAAAGAAAAACAATTTGGTTGTCCTTTACCTATCAGGGACAGGAAATTACTTCACTCAACATTTGATGCTATTGAAGGTTGGGCCCAAAACACTCTCTCTTGACTCTTACAGGTATTGATCCTTTCCGGGTAATGATTTTACAGGTTACAAATTCATTATTTTTTCATACTTGCTGTGCATGATTCGTATGATTTAATTCTTTGGTGTCTTTTTCTATGGTAGAGATTGTTTAGAGCAGGGGCACATTCATATTGGAGTATAATTTAGGTTTGTCTGTATCTGACAAACTAAAATCCAAAAGGCAGACTTAGATATTTGGTTATTAGTATGTATTTCTTCCACATCTCTTCCAGTAATGTCATAAATAAATTTGCAGTGTGGCAAC